ATGGGGTGGGGCCGCTGAAGCGCGTGTGGGTTGGGACCCAGTACGGAGAACTGGCCATTCATTCAAGGAGCCAACGGACTCCTCCTATCACGTGTTATACTCCCCAGAAGTTTTAATAGGAGCCATTCGTTTGCAAAGACGAATTGGATTCCGACGAGGGGCCTCTCGCTTTGAGCCCCGCCGTGTGACAGGATAGCCCGTGCCAGGGCAAGCACCAATTTCGAGAAAAATAAAATATTTTAGTTAATCAGTTAATGATGCCGTAAGCCCTTGATCTGGGCATTGCATCTCTTAGTCGGCACACTTCTACGAGTGCCCCGGACGTGTTAATTGGGTCAGACTTTGGGTTTGCACGATAAGGATACCCATCTCGGAAGGACACAATTAAGAAATGACAATCGGCCCGTCTCGCTGCCCCCGGCCTACGCACTATCTGATGCTGGCCCGATTATCAGTGAGCGGTTTGGGGAAGCTGGCCGGCGGTTCGCAGGATCAAAGTGTCGGCTGCAGCTCGGCTGCGTCGTGCGGTCGGTGCGTGCTGCTTGCCTGAGTGTCACATTATTCACCATCTGGAGCTGGAATTTCCAGGGTGACGTGTTAATAAGGGCAATTTTGCCTTCCGAAGGACAGGTGTGCTGCTATCTCAATCGGTTTGTCCCTTTGCCTCATGAAAACGGCTTCCGCGATAACAGAAATCGCTTCCAAGCTTCTCACGTTGTCTCTTTTGGGAAAGGAACACACGTGAAGAAATTTGAGGACCCAAATCACGCATAACCACCCAGCGACTGTGATCTGATGCCTCTCTTCCTGATTTGTCAATTGCGCGAAAAAATTGCTGACCCAACTACTACAAGTAAAATAATTTTTTCTACTGGCAAAACCCCCTTTTTAGTTAATTTTTAAAAATATTTTTTTCAAGTGTCACAAAGGGCAGCAAAGCCATGGTTTGCTACTTTTCAGCTGTGTTAAGTGTTACACGGTTGAGCAGCGTTGCGCTGCGTTTTTCGGCGATGGGCCACCAATGATGTGCTGCACGAAGTAGGGCGGCAGAGAGGTGTCACTCTTCTCGCCTCCGTGAAAAATTGTGGCTCGCGATCGCGCTGCCACCCCTCACAATCGTCGGGTTACTTTTGCTCGACTTGTTCGAGTGAGAAGCGCAGCAATCATTGACACCCTCGGCAGCCAATGGACCTCGTGCCGGCGTGTTATCAATACCCGAGCTCACTCATTGACGCCCCCGGCCACGCCTCGCGTACTGGGAACAGAGTAGGGCGGTGCCGGCCACTACTGCCCTTTTTGTGCTCCAGTCTACCGTGCGGCCAGGAGGGGACACAGGCTTGAAAGAGACCAAAGAAAACTAAGTTTAAAAATATTTTTTTCATGTGTGCGCTTTTTCGCAAGAAGCTCACGATTTTAACTAGGCGTTATGCTGCAGCGCGTCCAGCTTTCGCAACGGCCTTCTGCAAAAAGTTGCTGACAGCGGGGCGGAAAGCTGCCCTGTTTGTGCTCCGTGAAATCCGAAAGTTGAAATTTCCTGTTCCGCAGCCCGCGAGCCGAAGGGCTTCATTCTTTCTCCCTGCCACCCTCTGGACGGCGTCGGCGGCGCGGTCGGCGGACAGCCAGAGAAGCCCCCGGGATGCGCTCGCGCATTCAAGTCTCCAGCGGAAAATAGGAAAATAACCGGCGGCTGGGCCCCGCGGGGGTTGGGGCGCGGCGGGGGCGGGTGAGCCCGGAGCCCCGGGGGCGGAACTTATGCGTCTTTTGAGGGGAAGAGTCAGTCGACCGATGGCAACGACAATCGAAGACGCAGCGCGGCGCGGCACTGCGCGGCCAGGTGCGGCGGGAATGACACCTCCGCGTCGAGGAGGCGAGAATGCGCGGGCCACTTCATTCAGGAGACGATACACTTTGAATGAAGTGCGCGTATTGTACGCGGCCACCTGTGTGAGTGCCATTCAGGCTGTTCATTCACCAGTCCATACTTCCCTTCCGGTGTCACAAAGAGGAGTCAGCCCGGCCCACGGCCCAGGCCCGCGCCCCGCCTTCCCGCGGAAGGCAAAGTCTTGGAACGAAACCGTCGCCGCCTTTGAGGTGCATCCAACGGCCGGCCAAGGGCCCCGGGCCCCACCCCCGCGTGGCGTGAAGGGGCGTAGGGGACCCTTGGTGCAAAGCCACGCCGCGACGATGGACTCGGCGCACTTATTCATTGCGGTCGACCCCGCTATGGCCCCCGCCCCCGCAATGCGCATTCAGGGGCAGTGGCTCGAGACAGCGACTGCCGGCTTGGTTCGCAGTTTCAAATAATTTCGTAAGCCGTGCACTCTCAGTTACTTTGCAGTGTAACTGTAGGCGTGGACTCGGCCCGCCCATTGTACATTTACTGTTAATCATATATAGACACTTTTTGCTGCTCCTATTCCTAACCACCAGCTACACATTTCAAGTAAAAGCACGCATGCAGACTGTCGCTTTGCATTGATTTAACGTGACTTTCTTCTTTAGCTCCCCTTTTTTGCCATGAGTCACCGAGTGTCCTTGGAGGGTTGCTAAAGGCGGGCTCAAGTATTCTGGTCGTCCATCCCGAGTTACCGGGGGCCCTGCCAGGGCCCAGCCCGTCCGGGCCGAACAACAAAACCAACAAGAGATCGATACGAGATGAAGCGGGCCCCGTCGTGAATGGCCAAGTGGCCGTTTTGTTTCACCGGATGACCGGACGCAGGTGCCGACTGGCGAGTGGCGCGACCACCGTGGCTCCATTCATACCTGCCTGGGAAGGACGGCGGAAACGACCACACAAAATCACACGGAAGGGCAAACAAGGACTGCCACTCTTGACTCGTTTCACGAATCGCTACGCGGCCTGCATCACGTGAGTGCATGGCGGACAAAGCGCGTGGACTGAATATCCTGGCCACTGCCTAGAACGTCACAACACGGGCAGTGTGGAAGTAGTTTTTAGAACGCGTACCCACAAACACAAACTGTTTTTGTGTAAACATTCACTTATTTTTAAAATTTATCTTAAAGCAAATTTACCCAAGTTTCGGGCCAAAATCATGTTGTTTTGCTCTTGGACACACTACCATAGTCGCAGTTCCTTTTTTGCAAACCCGGACTAGAGCTTCAAGTGTCAATGGATGTCCGATTCCCGGCACCTCGAAAAGGAGCAGGAACAAGGCCCTGCCGTTGCACCGCGTTGCACGCCGCGGGGGTGACTGTGTGCAAGGTTGCAGCAGCCGTGGGGAGCCGTGGTCCGTTCAATAGCGCCCGAGCGCTGGCCACATCCGGTGCCATTCAATCGTCGATTCATTCAGGCTGCAAGGCGCGTTGCAGGGCGTGGAGGGGCATGGCGGGGCGTACGCTGGGCCGTGCGTTCGTGGTCATTCAATGGACCTCGGCGATCGGCGTGTCACTGCAGTGTGGCACGGGGCCCACAAACCAAAACACTGTTCAACAGAAAATTGGTTCCACGAACACACCACACAAACATGCACTCTCAATTCTCGCACGTTCGTTTTAGTACTGACCAGTTGAGCAAATTTTTTTAAACTTACGTTTGTAGACGTTGAATGAGCTTCCAACAAGACTCTAAGACAATGCAATGGAACAAGCTATTTGATGAGTGAAATAAATCGTGATCTTGAAGAGGTTATCCCCTACTTTTTGACCATTTTCCTCAAATTCAGTAGTGTTCAGCATCGGCAACCCGCAGGCCGCATTGCCCACTGTGCGTGCGTGTTTCGCATCTTTATCGTTTCCGATCTGTCAATAATATCCCCCGGCCGCGCTGACGTTTCCGAGTGCCCCATTTCGGAGCCGAGTCGCTTCTGCGAAGATCTCCGTGGAGATGCGCTGAAGGAGGCGGAGCACGTGCTACATCCTGGCGAAGCGCGGCGCCCCGCTACACTTCCGTCCTTTTAAACTTTTTGTTAGCCCCAATCACAATGGGCCTGGGGCGCCCAAATCGACGCTCGGCAAGACTTCGTGGCGACAGACCCCTCCCCTCCAGAGGGCACTCCTTTCAAGAAAAAAGCAGCTTCCCGTATTCCCAGAATATCTGCAACACGGCTATGTTTTGTTCAGCGGGGTCGACTGCCTGGACTCCATGGTCGTTGATTTTGCGAGGCGTTTGCGTCTGTGTTTTGAAACGGAAAACGAGACAGACTTCAAAACTTGAACTCACGAGTCATGATCGTTTCTTTGCCACAAGGCATAAAATCTAGCTGAGTGTTTGCATACGTGTGGCGGGAGGCCCACCCTTGCAAGAACCTCGGAGCCCCCAGCCAGGTGGAATGTTTGCAGAGGGATTTTGAGTGCGTATGTTGACAAAGTCAGGTAAAAGTCCTGGGCCCGTCTGGGAGGTCCAAGTAGGCCAGCCTTCGTGATATTTGCAGAAGGAAAGGTGCGCACGGCCCCTACTCCAGTCAGGGGATGACCTGCACTCCTGAGTTTGGCCCACTGAAGCACTGGAGGATGACGTCAGCAATCGTAATGAGCAAACTGAAAACGTAATCAAACCTTACACTGTATTTGATTTTTGAAATTTTGAAGTTCTTTTTTGCTGCACAGTGATCACTGTGGGCATCGCGCACCAGTGGCGCTCTCCTCTGCCGGCGGGAAATCGTTGAACTAAGATCGCCAAGTACTGCAGATTGCCTATCTCCGACTTTGCAGGCGCTAGCCGGGCATGCCGTGGTTTCAATACTGTATACTTGCTTTTGAGTCAACAGAGATTTTCTCATATAATTTAAGAATGTGTTTATTTTGCTTTGCCTTTTATCTGGCGTTTTGCGGTAATAATTCCGAGTCACCGATTTCCAATGCCTCATTTCTTTAAGCAGTTTTTTTTTTTTAGTTTTTCATTTTTTGTAAAATTTTACTCTTTGTTTAGTGCCATTATTTTAAAGGATAATTTTGGGGGTAAAACACTAAACTGCAGATTAAAATTGCTACATTTTTATTAGTTTAAAAGTTTAAAACCAAAGACACAATTTGCATTACATATCAATCTTAAACAACTAGTAAAGCTTTTTGTCAAGATCCTTAAGTCTAAAGCATGCTGGCCGCGTAGAACTATTACAATAATTATCATAAACTTATGAGAACGTACCTAATGAGATCACAGGGTTCTTTATTTAGATGCTCTACTTTCAAGTCTTACTTAAATTACTGAGTTCAAGTTATCCTAAATTATTGCTACAAAAGTAAACCTATCCATCCATGTTTCTTACGTACAACAATTTACCACACGACATTCATTCTGTATAAAATGTAGATCTATAAGCTATCTTACAGGCAAGGTAGCAATTAAACAATGTAGTTGAGCCTATACAATATATCTTGGCACTGTAAGCACACATTTTTATTTATATGACAACTATTTGTAACATCTTAAGTTTCTAAGGACAGAGATCAATCGAAAGTTTTTTTTTCCTTTTTTTGTTTTTATGAAAAAAATTTATCCTAAAACAACAAAAATAATCTTTATTTATCACAGCATGGCGCATATAAATCGGGTTATCAGCTTTGATTTTCGGTGTGATATCCCATTTTAAACTCTTTAGGTCATAACAAAGTCGTTGAAAATTCTATACCTGATCCAAGCGAGGGGCAAATATTTGACACGCAGTCTTCTTCCATCGTTAAATGCACCACTTAATCATGTATAGAATTTTCAATCACAATATAATGCAAAATTTAAGCAATTTTCAGCAAAATTTCTCAGCCTGTCGGCAGAGCGATCCTTCTGGGTGATTGACGACGAAACCACGTGGCATATAAAAGTACTATCAGAATTATTTGAAGTCATTTGTCTCTCAAAACATAAAAGAGCACATACTTATGCTCCTACCTAATTAACCAACAAGAAGTTAAATTACGTTTACGCTGTACAGATAACTTAAAAACTAATTAAAGCTTTCGTACCACAGTTTAAGGGCGAGCGCCATCTTGGCTCTAGCAATCAGTGCTGACGGGCGAGTCGGCGGGCCAAGTTGTCTGCAAACGTCGACAGCGGCGAGAGGCTCTTGCGGATGTGGCCGCGGCTCGCGAAACCGTTGAGGGCACCGAGGGGAACCCGCCGGCAAGGAGAGGGAATGCCGCACGGAGAGGCGTTCTCCGAACCGCAGAGGGGGGCGGGGCTGGGGGGCGTAGAGCGACGCCGCCCCTTGGCGCGCTTCGCTGGGGGTGCCGCCGCGTCCTCGGGGACCTTGACGGTAGAGGGCGCCGCGATGACCTCGGGCTCGGTGGGCTCGTCCTTGACCACGTCCATCTTACTCTGCTCGGCGCGCTCGTTGGCCAGGTTCTCGTTGACGGCGTTGTCCACGTCCATGGCGTCATCGGCGTCCGGCTTGACGTTCTCCTTGGTGCGTGGCCAGGACACCTCCACCTTGACCACCTTCTCGAGGACGTTCCAGTACTCGTTGAGGTTGATCTTGGTGTGGAAGCGGCGGGGCAGACCAGGCCTGTTCGTGCTCGAGGGCTGCAACAACAAAAGGGCGTTTCTTAGCATCCAGGAAGTGCATTCAATCGTTGCCGTCTCAACGGCTAAACCGAAAACAGGGGGGGAGGGGAGCTCGCGGGAGGCCAGGCTCAGGCAAGGTAGGAGCAGGGGCGAAGGGAGAAGGGGGGGGGGGCGGCGATGGAGCCAGCCGAACAAAGGAGGATGCACGCGGCGTGGGGAACGCCTGCGAGGTAGGCAACGCGACTCCATGCGTACCGCGCGGGTTGCCTACGCTAGGCATGACAGGCGCTAGAGCGAAACAAAGGAAGCCAGTGCGGCGCAACAGAAGCAGCTGATGAAGGGATGACGGTGGCGGCAAGACAGCCGGACGTGCTGCAGGTGCGCAGACGGTCTGACCCAGGGTCAGACCCGCGGGGAGAGCGGACGGACAGGCAGGCAGGTCGACAAGTGAGAGGGGTGAACGGTCACGCCAAGTGCGCATGCGCTACACGCGTCACGGCCTGGCGACGCGGACAGGTGGCTAATGGCTTGCAGCACGTAGAGAGTCCAAATCCTTTTCGCTCCCCTTTCCCGCCTGCACGGTTCTATGGCCAACAAAGATACGCGCGCCGCGCGCCGTTTTGGCGCTTTTTGACAAACCCAATTGCTTATTTTCTATACTGTTGTTAATTTTATTGCTATCCGACAAGTTTTGCGGTTACAAAATCTCAGGGAATCTTTATCTATTTTACCGACGGCAAACATAACCCAAGAAGCGACGTTCTCGGCCATTTCAATGGCAGTGTGGGGGGACTTAAAACTATCAGGTATTAAAAATTTGATTGTGGATGCTTACCTGCTTGAACACGCCGCGCAGCGTCCACGAAGGTCTCCGTGCCATGGCGTCCAGGGTAGACGTGAAGGCCTTGGCGTCTTCGGCGTCCCGGACCAGTGGTGGCGAGGCGAGGGCGCTGTGAGGGTGCTGGCTCAGGCACATGTCGGCCAGGTAGGGAGCGAGGTGTGCACGGTTGGAAGACTGGGGTCTGACTGCCAGCTCGCTGCAGCGCGCCCCCCGCTCATATAGAGCAGGGATTGTGCCTGCATCGCCTGCAGCCAGAGCGTGCGCAACACGCGCTCGGCTCGGTGCCGGGCTCGGCTCCTGCGCTGGCCCGGCTTGGCTCGACTCGGCTCGGCGCGCCCCTCGGGAGTCGTCGTCGGCCGCTCGGCAGGCGTTCGGCACCCGACCGTCTCGGCCCGTGTGGAGGCACCCGTGCTCGCCCCGCCACCGAAGGCACCCCGCGCCTCCCCCGCTCTGCCCCCCTACCCGGCCCCCTGCCCGCACTGCTTGCCTGGTTGCCTCACGAGCTTCACCGTTGAAGATGTCACTCCAACGGTTCTTGTGTCAACCGCAAACGAAGTCGTTTTTGACTTTTTCTGCTGTTTACGTGCATACTTTCGATAATACCCAATTCCTTACTCATGCCGTTGAGGCCGATTCGTGTACTTAAACTACAGGGATTCAATTGCAAGTTCAATTGTTTTTTAAAATTCAAACTTTGTGCTGTACGCAACTTGCGTCAACTCTGAAAATAGACGACTGAGGGCTGGTTCTGGTTTCGGCGGCCGGTTAACCCTTGCCATTCGGAATGTGGCGAGTCCTCTGCTAATGGGTGCCGTGCGTGGGCACGTGTGGAATGCCTGGCAGTGACGTGTAAATGGAGTGCGGCATGGCAACATTCGTATCCTTTACCCCGTTTAGCGGTGAGGTGGCAGTCCGCCGAAGTGAGGCGGCGTGTTGAGCCTTGACAGCAGTGCAGCCAACTTGGCCGGAGCTGTTAGAAAGCAGAAGGACCTGATGTGGCAGGTAAGAAAGATCAGGCCTAAAAAAGGCGGGAGTAGTTTTGCAAAAACAGACACACACGCGCCATGAGCAAAAAACTGCCACGCAGCACGCAGGCCCTCAAGGCTGCGCAACATGTGCCGCTTTTTTTTTAGGAAACCTATTTTTTTCGCCTTGCGCCGCACTTTGGCGTCTGCTCGGGGCGGATTTATTATAAACAGAAGATGTCCTTATGGCCTTGTGACGTCTTGGCAAGGGACAAAAAAAAGCACGAGGAACCTTTGATGTGTGTGAAGCCGCGCCGTTCATTTGCAGAGACGCAGAGAAACTTTAATTGCGAAAACGAGTTTCGGTGCGGGCCCTGCTTGCTGCACCCGTTCCCGCCCATGTCTTACATCTTCCGCAAATTTTACAGGAAAAAAATAAAGTGGTGCGCGCAGACGTTACGTGCGAGGGACTGCTACCCGCATGGCACGCCCTTCTGGAAGACATCAACCTTGCGAGGGGACCCCTTTGCTTCGGCGAGGAGCATCAAATTACCAACGGAATCCTCGCCGGCTGGGTCGGGGACGGCCGGGTACTTACCCTTTCGGTGCGCGCGTCGTGCACTTTCCACGTAACGCGACATGCTTTATGACGTCACTGCAAATTTATCCCGACCCTCGCCTTGAGCGGAGCAAGCAGCGAGCGAGTTGGCGCAGACCCCAGGCGTTTCAATAATGGGTCACTTGTTGGCGTGCGCGGTGCGCGGACAGTGCGTGGGGTGCACACGTGGGCAGCGCCACCCTTGCAACAGGTCCCCTAATAAGACCTGGGGGGCAGTCACCCCCATCGCGCGCACCCCCCCCCCCCCCCCCCACACACACACACACATTGGGCTGCTCCGCTGCGTGGGAACGGGGCCCGATCCTGCTTTCCCACAAGCAGTCCAAACGTGAAGCACCCCAGCTGCCGCCCTGTCTGTCCTCCTCCCTCGCACGGCCCGCCGCTCTCCGTCTCCGTCACTCTTTCTTCCCTTTCCGTTGCTGCCCGGCCAGGCCGAGCCAGGCCCCGGCCTGCCTGGACCCGTAAGTAGCAGCGCTCACACCTGCCGCTCGTCCCGTCTCGCTCGCTCCGCCTCGCTCAGCCTTGCCCCGGCCGGCCGGCTCGTCTTGCTCGCTCCCTCGCACACGGACGGCCATCCCGGCTGCCCCGCCGCCGCCCCCGCCCCCCGGGCAGGACAATGTGTGATGTGTGTTACATTTATGGATGCCGTCGGTCAGGCGACCCCTGTGTCCTTCCACCAATCAGACCGTCAACGTATCTTGGCGATGCTCCCTTTATATTCCATTATTATGATTCGCCCACAAATTATCACGCGTCGCGGCGATCGACACGTGAGTGTCAAGCGTCTCGTCACGCGAACGACGTGGGGAAGAAAAAGGAGGGGGCAGTCGTGGGTGTCGCTGCAATGCGCGGTTACCGCTGCCTCAAAAATATTGAATTTGGTAACAAATGCGAGCGACTCTTCTCTCTGATTATTCTTTTACAGGGCTTTCGGTTTTGACGATCACATTTTAATATTTTAGGCGTCGGGCTTTGCCGCGAAAGGTCCGAATGATCGGGTGGTTTCCCATGACATTTTTCTTGAATAAAAAACGCGAGATTTTAAGGGGCGGTGACAAATGGATTGGCCTGCAAAGTCCTTTTATCCTCCTTGCAGCCCTTTTGGTCTCCTCCGGGCCTGAGAACGTCTCAACGGCTTTGCATGGCCAAGGGGGGCGGCGGTGTGACGCAATGCGGGTGGGGCTTGATTTGGGCATGACAATGGGCCCGCCGCGCCCCCGCCCCCTGCACCTGTTGACAAAACTTTTTATTCCGCCCATCGGTTTCTGCGGTGGGGGCCGTACGATGAGGTTGGAGGGCGTGGTGGGGCGGCCGGGGCCGACACCCACACCGGGCTCATTTTCTGCGACTTTCTCACAGTCTGCCTTGCATTGGGGATGATCCTGGGGGCGGGCCGCGGCGGCTACAAGTGGGGCACCTTGCACGAGGGGGACTAGTCGCCCAGAGGTCTGATTCTTCGGAACACAACACAAACGTCATGCCAAAGCGAAAAAGCAGCGTGTCGTTCTCACGGCTGAGTCGGGGGCGGCCGGGCAGGTGGTTGTAATCCGTGCGCCCCGACGAGCCGCAGCGAGCCGCAGGGGTCGGCCTGACCCTGTGATAAGCCCCCGCGGACAGGCAATGCTAGACTCACTGATAAAGCGCTGTTTGCTCAGACCCCGTCCCCCCCTTTTTACGAATCAGGACGCGCTAACCCTATCACCCCATCTAATATGGCAAGTCCGCCTGCCCCTTTTGCAGCGGCAATGGTGTTAATTGGCGCACCAATTGTCTCCCGAAAGAGAAGAGTCACTGCTTCCCGAAACTCTGACTGCGCCACACTTGTCCCGCCAACGCACCTTTCCTGGAAAGGCACACGCGGCGCAATCACCTTTCGGTTACTTGTTTCTCTCTACGCGTGGACCTCGCGTGGCGGTCGCGCGCTGGCCCCGTCCCCCCTCTCCCCCCCACACGCCTATTCTTCTTTTGATTTCCCCCCGTCCCCCGCGGCTTACTACCGGCTCGAGAAGTAACCAACTCTCCCACGCTGCAGCTCCACACCTGGCCGTGGCCCCGCCGGGCCCTGCTGCCCCAGACCACGGTCATCAACTCCTCTGGTCAGGATGATAGGGACGGGCGGGGCCCGGAAGGGAGGAGGGTCGGGGGAGGTTGCGGTATGACACTTGTATGTACACACATTGCTGCATGCGCGGTGCGTGCCCCTGCGAGCCGGACGCACGCCATGCACACGACCACCCTGGCGGTGTGCAGTTGTGCGTGAGCGCGCGGACCCGCACCAATGGACCCGGAAGGGGTGCTGGGCTCCTCTTTCATAGTTCGGCGGTTGAACTGGCGCAGGGGTGCGGAGACCACTGGCCCGACAAGTGCATGCATACTGATAGTGGCATTCACATGCCGCCCGTGGCGCTGGCTGATGTACAGCGTGTACGTCGCGTTGTCCCAGCACTGTGGCGGCGACACGTCGGGCAAGCCAACGCGTGTCCGCACGTACCCGCTGGAATGCCCACGAGCGTGGCACGCCCTGGCCTGCCGCGGCACCATCGCGGCACCCAGCCCCGTGCGTGCGCGTCGCGGTGCGCGCGTCGCCGCGTGGAGGAGAATACTGTGTTTATGAAGATGGACTCCGCGGTGGTTGATTCGACGAACAGGCCGGGCCCTTCCGCCGCATGGGATGGAAAATGGAATCCAACTCCGATGCGAGCGTGCGCCCAACGCTGCGCCCAACGCTGTGCATGGGGTGGCGCCTGTCTTCGGAGACGAAAGGATTGTTCTCAGGAAGTCTACGACGCATCGGAATCGAGTGTGCCGAAATACAGCTCACCCCTTTTCGTGTTCTGGCAAACTTCTAACGCACGCTTATACACACACATTGACAAGTACGCATTACCAATTCGTACAGCGTGGTACACGCCCACGGCCCGACACGTGCACGTTCAATGCACCGTGGGCACCACACGGCTACCTGACTTGACTACAAATCCAGTCATTATTTTGACAGTTTTCCGATTGGAACGGCGGGGTCAGGCTGTCAACATGACGCGGTGTCAGAGCGGACACGGGGAATGGCGCGTCCTTCATGAATACGAGATTTGTCGAAAAAGTTATACACAAGAATCATGCATAAGTTATGAACCATTGCGGAGATGGCGCGTAACCTGTGTACAAAATACTGTTCGATTACAAAAAATACTGCGCAGGAATCTTTACAAAAACTCAAACCCCTTAAAGCTGCTTAAATTTAACATGTCGTTTGGAAATTTGTCGTTTCTTACCAATGCACACGTGTATGAATCTTTTCATGGTCTACTTCACATTAATAATCTGTAAAAAAATTTTGGTCGTCCTTCCTGCTTTGCGGTAAAACGAAAGGGGGAAAAAACCGTCCCGAAGTGGCTCGCGATGTTCGCGTGGCGCTCGCATGGCAGCCACGTGGAGCGGCGCGCGTCGTCGGGCTGGGTGTTCCCACGACTCACCTCGGTGCCCCCGCCACGCCCCAGTCGGCCCCGCCCCACCCCGCCGGGGGCCCGGTCCTAAAGGCATCATCTGCCCACGCTTTCCCACACTTCTCGGCACGTCTCCCCCACCGGC